GTAACTCCAGCCAGGGGATCCGACAGCCTCTTCTGTCCTCTGTGGGCATTGCATGACATGGGTGCATTTACCTACATGCAGGCAATACACACATACACATAAAATAATAAATAAAACATTAAAAAAAAAAAAAAGGAAACGCACCTGAGACCTCAGGCTTCCCGTTTTCCTGTCCTAGGGCATCTGACTGGAAATTAGACCAGCCTGATTGGACTGGTCGCCTCCGAATCACTTCAAAAGGGAAGATTGCCTATATCAAACTTGAAGATAAAGTTTCAGGTAAAGTGCAGGTGACCCCTTAAAGCATTAAGTGTATTGGTTTGGTGTGCTTTTATAAGTACCTTCAGGTTGGGAACGACGGTGGAAAATTACCTGTCAAATGGAGTTAGTTTGCTGCTGCTTTTGCTTAAAGAGATCTCTTTCTCCCCTGTAGGGGAGCTGTTTGCTCAGGCACCCGTAGAGCAGTATCCTGGCATTGCTGTGGAGACGGTGACAGATTCCAGCCGCTACTTTGTAATCCGGATTCAGGATGGTACTGGTAAGGGATGGTACTGGGATTTTTGGCGGGATAAGCTTAGGAAGTAGTTAATGTATTCCACTAAAATTGTGTCCAAGTGACATTTCTCTTACATTTGTTAGCTTTTTCTTCCCTTTTCTTCAAACTTAACTGTGGTCACTGAAGGAAAGAATCAACATTTGTAATAGATAGGAACATACATTCAAGATGTGGTAATTAATAAGTAGGACTTAAATAAATCAAAATGCCTATTTAACAAAAGAACACATGCTCATTGTGGTGGTTTGTGGTGGGACTGTCTTGAACCATCCATTTCTAGGGCATTAATTCTCAATCATTTCTTCCTAGTTTATTATATAACAGAGAGAACCGAAGACATGATAAATAGTTTTGGTTTTGTGGGCCAAGTAGTCTGTGCTGTAATTGCTGAACAGAGTTTGGCTGTTGCAGTGTGAAAGTAGTCACAGACACTATATATCCAAGTTGATGTGGCTGTATTTCAATAGAACTTCATTTACAAATCTGTTTTACAGCAGGATTTGGCCTTTGGGCTTTATGGTATCTGATGACTCCTGGTCTGTGACAAAATACTTAATAGATTTTCTGTAGGTAGGGTAACATGTATTTCTATTAGGCAGAAATTGTCATAGGGAACAAATGTTCAGACTGCTCCTCCTTTTCACAGGGCGCAGTGCATTCATTGGCATTGGCTTCACAGATCGGGGAGATGCTTTCGACTTTAATGTTTCGTTGCAAGATCATTTCAAGTGAGTGGGCGCTGTCTCTCTTGCCAGGTTGTTTAGTTAGTTATGAATGTGTTACTGTCTTCTTTGTATCTATTGCTTTCTTTCCATACAGTCTGTGATATATTCTAGATCCGTGGGTCACTGGTTTGTGTAGATGCTTTTGTTTATACCTCTCGGGGGTCTACTCTTACTTTTAGGTGAGTAGGGAGGCCTGCGGTAGCAGTGGGCCTGTCCTCGCAGAGCCTGCTGCCCGCTTGGTTTGGCATTAAGTAGCCGATGTGTTTGGTGCCCACCTGACTTGGGCGCAGCTGTAGTGAACAGCACCTTGCACACCATCTCTTCCTTCCTCAAGCAGAGGCTTCTTTATTACTTCAGGACTTTGAAGTTGTGAAAAACACGAGTGGAACCTGCAGGAGCAGTAACGAACACATCTATGCTGGCACAGTGCTCAGCTGCATGGCGGCTGGAAATTGGTGGCTGGATGCCCTCTTCTTGGGAGGGATAAGTCTGATAGGCATTCTGTGGTTCCTCAAACTGAACCCCGGTTGGCCTTTCTTTTCTCTCTGCTTTCTGCAATCCCAGTTTATCTAAATGAAATATATCCAGATTTGTGTGTTATACTTGGCATCAGGGATTTTTTAAGCTAAGATAACTTACTGTTTTCCCAAAGGTGGGTAAAGCAGGAATCTGAGATATCCAAGGAATCTCAGGAAATGGATAATCGTCCCAAGTTGGATCTAGGCTTCAAGGAAGGACAGACTATCAAGTTGAGTATTGGGGTGAGTATGATTTTCAAAAATATTTTTTTCCTGTTATTCTGTAAGTTTGTGACATGCCGCTTTCTCCCTTCCTTTTTCCTTTTGTAGAACATTACAACCAAGAAAGGAGGTGCTCCTAAGCCCAGGACCTCGGGGGCTGGGGGTCTAAGCTTACTCCCACCTCCACCTGGAGGCAAGGTCACGATTCCCCCACCCTCCTCGGTTGCCATCAGCAATCATGTCACCCCACCGCCCATTCCAAAATCTAACCATGGAGGTAGTGATGCAGGTAAATCTAGTATTTAAATTTGAAAAACCTTATCTTATGGTTTAATTGGATAGTAGCCATTGACCAAGGAGTATTGATGTTTTGGCTAAGAAATTCCTTTTGGTACTGACAGGGTGAATTTGGCAAGGGGTCAGAGTTTTTCTGGTGAACTGGCTCCTAGTAGGATTTCTGCCATAAAATATGTGGTTGTTCAGAAGACCATTTCCTCCTCTATTTGGTGTGGAAGCATGTGAGCCAGGTGGATCAAGATGGTGGCTATGGCTCTGCTACTCATGTCTGAATGTACTTGGTAAACATTACTTAAGTTTTAAAACAAAGCTATTCATGCCAGGCATGGTAGCACATGCCTTTAGTCTCAGCATGTGGGAGGCAGAGGCAGCAGCGGGGGGGGTCTCTGAGTTCAAGGCCAGCCTGGTCTACATAGCGAGTTCCAGGCCAGCTGGGGCTACAGGGAGACCCTGTCTCAAAAAGACAAAAAAAAAAGTTATTTATCTGTTTTTATTTATTTGTGTACTGTATGCCTCCCTCCATCACCTCTCTCATGTAGTCCAGGCTGGCCTCAGACTCCTGATTCACCTCTCTCCATTTCCCAAGTATTGGGATTATGTGTGTGTGCCACCGCACCAGCTTAAATTCTTTGAGACTCAGTTTCTTTGCTGCAAAATGGAGATAAAAAACTACCCCAGAGTGGTAAGGAAAATGATGGGCAGTGCCTAGTACTACCAAGCACTGTGTAGCCATCCAGTAAAAAGGAGGAGACATCTAGGTTTGTGCGCACATTTGTGTTCTTCCAGTCAGGTGGTGGACACATGGGCAAGCCCAGCACTTGAGAGACTGAGGCAGGAGAATCGTAAGTTAAGGCCTGCCTGCTTAGATAAGTCCCAGACCAATCTGAACTGTGTAGCTAGACTCTCAGAAAAGCAAAATCTGATCAAGCAACCAAATAAAATTTGTGTTTTTCCTTACTATCTGGAGGAAAAACAGGTAATATAACATGTAGTTATATTTCCTCTTTTTGAAAAATGAGGCCATGAGGCCATTAGGAATCAAATAAATTCCTTTCCTTTTTCTCCCCTTTGAGACAGGATCTGGCTGTATTCCCAGCTGGCCTGGAACTGCCTATGTAGACCAGGCTGGACTTGAATTTACAGAGATCCACCTGCCTCTGCCTTTCTCAAAAAAAAAAAAAAGAGGATTTTGCTGTGTAGTCTAGGCTGGTCTAGAGCTCATTAAGTAATTTATTTATTTATTTTTATTTTATGTATGTACGTGTGTATGTATGTGTGTATAGCTGTGGTGTGCAATGCCTGTGGAGTCTAGAAGAGGGTGTTAGATCCCCTGGAACTAGAGTTAAAGATGGTTAGCTGCCATGTGGGTACTGGGAACCAAACCTAGGTCCTCTGCAAGAGCAAGCAGTGCTTTCAACTGCTGAGCGATCTGCCAAGCCCCAGGATTTTTTGTTGGTCTTTTTGAGACAGGGTCTCCCTGTAGCCCCAGCTGACCTGGAATTCGCTATGTAGACCAGTTTGGCCTTGAACTCAGAGGCAGGCCTTGAGATCGCCTGCATCTGCCTCCCGAGTGCTGGGATCACAGGTGTGTGCCACCACACCTGGCTCTTTTTACTATTTTTTAATTTTGAGACTGGGTCTCTTGTAGACTAGGCTGGCCTCAAACTTGTGTAGCTGAGGATAGCTGTGAGCTCCTGATCCTCCTGCCTTCGACTCCCAAGTGCAGAGATTTCAGGTGTGCACCACCATGCCCATTTTCTGTTTTATTTTTAAAGTTGGCAACAGAGTAATGGATTTCTTTATGGCATTTTATTACACGTGTCTTATGCATTATTGTAATTTGTTCCCTTCTCTTACTGCCCCCTCGATGTCCTCTGGTCCCTCTGTGTCCTCTGCCTGCCTCTCGCTGGTTCCTCTTCATGAGACTCTTGGGAATTTTTAATATATTGGATATTGGATAATGCAGATTTTTTTTTCAATTGATTACAAAGGCTAAGCTTTCTCTTTCTGGAATTTTAGAGGTAAAAATATTGTAGCCTACTTATTTTGCATAGTGTCACCAGAAGTAATACTTTAAGATTAAAAAAAAATTTATTTTTATTTTATATGTATGAATGTTTTGCCTGCCTGTATGCCATATGTGTGCAGTGCCTGCAGAGATCAGAAGAGGACTTTGGATTCCCTGGAAGAGTAGTTAAGGAGTTAGCTGTTGTGTGGGTGCTGGGAACCCAGGTCCTCTGCAAGAGTAGCCAGTACTCTGAACCACCGAGCCACCTCCAGCCCCAAGATTTTTTATTTTCTTTTGAGACAGGTTCTCACTATGTAGTCTTGGCTGGTCTAGAACTTGCTATGTAGACCAGGCTGACCTTAAGCTCACAGAGATAGGCCTGCTTCTGCTGCCTTTAGAATGCTGATTAAAGGCCACTCAACAAAATTAAAAAAATTCTTTTTTCTAAGTTGGAATTTTTATTGGGTGAGATAGTAGCCTAATTATCCTAATAATACACTTAGTTATATTTCATCTAAGGAGAGAGTGTGAGTGAGAGGCCTTAAATATTGTGACCATGCACCTGAAGATTTATTCTTTTAACTTAAACCTTTTATTTTGAGAATTATAGATTCACGTACAGTTAAGTGAAATACTGAAAGAGGGCTGGAGAAATGACTGCAGTTAAGAGCACTGGTTGCTCTTGCAGAGGACCTGGGTTCGATTCCCAGCACCTACATGGTGGCTAACAACCATCCTAACTCCAGTTCCAGAGGATTTGATGACCTCTTTTGACCTCCTTGGGCATTGCACACCATGGGTACACTTACATACATGCAAGCGATAAATTCAAACATAAAATTTAAAAAACTGAAAGGAAATAGGTGTGGTGGAGCACACCTGGAATCCCAGCTCTTTGGAGGTGGAAGCAAGATGGGTGGGAACTCAAGGGTCACCCTAAAGAGCATAGCGATTTTGAGGCCAGCCTGAACTTTCAGAGGCTTTGTCTCAAATAAGAAAGAAAGGAGGGGAGGGAGGAGGGAGGGAAAGAAGGAAGAAAGAAAGAGAAATAATGAAAGGAATTGTGTGTCTTCAGTGTCCCTTACAACATCTTACAGCGCTATTGTTGAATATCACTATCAGAAAATTGACTGAAACCATCTTCTAATTCTATTCAGGCTTCATATTTATGTGCTCTCATTTATGTGTACATTTTAGCATGCGTGACTTTAGTTCTGTGCAGTTTTATCATGTGTAGGTTCATGGATCCATCATCATAGTCAGGCTACAGACCAGCTTTTCCGTCACTGAGAATCTTGTGTCACCTTTTGTAACCATACGTGTCTCCCTCCTTGCCTTCCATCTCCATCCCTAACCCTGGTAATCACTAATCTGCTCTTCCTGTAAAGTTGTTCCTTCAGCAGTGTTATATAAATGGGAACTTTTGGGATTGGCTTTTCATCCAAGGTGTATATATTGAGCTTTCTTTTTTATTGCTGAGTACTATTTTATGATATGGATTTACCAGTGTTTTTAACCATCACACAAGGAAGGACATCTGGATTGTTTCCAGTTTTGCATGATTACAAATAAAGGTGTAACATTTGTGTGCAGTTTCCATGTGAGCATGTGTTTTAGTGTTTCTCCTTTCTTTTCCCTCTTACCTTCTGTTCAGATGTCCTTTTAGATTTGGACTCTCCTGCTCCTGTCACGACACCAGCACCAGCTCCAGTTTCTACAAGCAGTGACTTGTGGGGAGACTTCAGCACTGCATCCAGGTAGGGGCTCAGTGCAGCCATTGTCCCCTCATGTGGGGAGTGAAGATGTGCAGTCAGAGGCAGCTTTGATCTGGGGAGGCACGGGATTTGCAGGGCATGTGGAGTCTTGTTCTAGGGAAGGAAACCAAGGAATGCTGGGACTAGTGGGAGAAGAAAGCTGTAGGGTGAGGCTTGAGTGGGATAGTTTACGCTTCTCTGAAGAGTGGTTTCAGGAATTCTGGACAGTGGTTTCTTGAAACTGACAAATAAAGAATGGACTAGTTATGGGGCTGGAGGATGGCTCAGTGGTTAAGAGCACTGATTGCTCTTGCAGAGGACCTGGGTTCCCAGCGCCCCCATGGTGGCTAACAACCATCCGTAACTCCAGTTCCAGGGGAAGCTGACACCCTCTTCTGACCTCCGCCGGCATTGCACGACACAGGTGCACTTACGTATTGGCAGGCAGTATACTCATACACATAAAATAAAAATAATAAATAAAATATTTTAAAAGAATGGACTAGCTACCCTGATGCTGTGCCTTTGGCTTTCTGTCTTTGTCTTGTCTTGCAGCTCTGTTCCAAACCAGGCACCACAACCATCCAACTGGGTCCAGTTTTGAATAGCATTGGCCAGACACTAAGGACAGACTTGAAGAATGAAAATGACCTGGAGGACACCATTCTATGAGGGCAGCTGGGAAGGCCTTCATTCCCCAGAACCAGAACTAGTGGACAATCTTTTTCATAGCTTCTTCATTGCATTCAAGCTGATTTCTTGGTCACTTCTGTGTTGTTACTTGCTGCACAGGCAGGAGAGTATCTGTTATTTCCTACTTATAACCAAGGCAGGGAAATAGTGGATCTTACCACACTGTGGCTGAGTATGCAGAGTTCAGAAGGCCAGCCTTTTGAGTGGGAAGGATTGCTAACATCTGTAAAGAATTTTCCCATCTTTTAAATTCTTGAACTTATTTTGGAATCATCCCATGACTCTTGTGTGCCTCTTTGTGAAGCCCTGTTTAGCAATTTCAGTCGAGACAAAAACCTTGAAACTTTCTTTTCCACTAACCGAAGACTGTAAAAGTGGATAGGCTGGCCTGAGTATTTATAAATTCAGAATAGCGATAGGGGTAGGTCTGGAGAAAGATCTGTGTCCTGGGTCTCTTCTGCAAGGCCTTTTTCAGACTGACCCTGCTCAGTGACCGTCCAGTGCTGGGTGCAGCTCCACTGCCCTCCTTGTGTTTACATGTCTCTTTCTATGATGAGAGGGCTGTGTTGGTGACACCTCCACTGTTCTTTACTGGGTGGTGAATTATGTAGCATCTTTGACCAGTGGATATTTCTGATATGACGGAGGTTAAGGGGCTGTGCTTTTTAAGTTTTATTCCACAAAAGTGTTTAATTTCTTGGAACTCTATGTAGTTGGCTGCATTTGAAGGATAGCATTAATTTATATTCATCCCTTATTTAACCTGAAGTTAAACAGTTAAGGTTTTTAACCTGATCTGTAGAACAGAGGCTGAAAGCACTTAACTCTCATTCAGTGCCCACATTGCCTTGCTGCCTGGTTATCTCTCCCCTTTCCGTAGACATTTCTTTTTCAATCCATTGAGCTCTTCAAAAGAAAGCTGCTATTATAATGTTGTGTTTGAAGGAGGTTGGAGAGTCACAGTTTTACCTGTGACAGGTTTTGCCCAGGTTTTGGTACCTACCAGCTAGAACATCTTAAAAGCAAGTTGTCCCACTACTTTCCTTTCCCTCTGCCCCACCATTCCTTTACAATGCTGTGAATAGACTCCCTGTCCTCACATCAGTGGGTACCATCAGTTCTGTTTGTTAATGGGTAATTTGAGGGCAGAGTGGGTGGGTGCACAGTCTTCCCTGAGCACCCGTTTGGATATGTACATTCTGACTGAAGAGGTTCCTTATATTTAGTTTCAAATGCATTGTTTCTCCTGGACTTTCTTAACTTTTCTGACCTTGGGTCCATTTTGTTTTCATTGCCTCCCGTTCCAGGCAGCTCTGCTTGTAGAGCCATAGCAGAACATTTTAAAATTCCAGAAAAAAAACACTAAGGAAAGTCTGTGGAATCACTAGTGACTGTCGGGAGACCTAGTTTCTCAGTCTTCATGTTGTGTTCTTTGTATTCTTTGAGATGATAATATATTATGTATTTGATTGCTGAAAAATTGATAAATGAAGTTTAAGATATATGTATATAAAGCGTATGCCGTATTGGTGCAATAATGGTAATTAAAAATATGGAAAAAGGTGGTGTTTTTGTTTTGTTTTGAAACGGTGCCCCACAGCCCCAGGTGGCCTGTTACTTGTTATGTAGACGAGGCTGGCCTCAAACTCACAGAGCTCCTGCCTCTGCCTCCTTAGTGCTGGGATTTAACGTATGTCCCACCATGCCTGGCTAAGGTGTTTTTTTGGTTTTTTTCAATCTTTTAATTAATTAATTAATTATTATTTTTTTGTCTTTTAGAAACAGGGTCTCCCTGTAGTGGGGCTGGCCTTGAACTCACAGAGATCCGCCTGCCTCTGCCTCCCCAGTACTGGGACTAAAGACATGTGCCACTATGCCCGGCTGCAATCTTTTAATTTATGCCCCATTCCTCTTCCTCTGCCACTGCTGGGAACTGAACCCAGGGACTTGTGCTTACTAGGCAAGCACTTTACTTCTCAGCTGCATCCCCAGTCCCAATTTGTCTTTTTAATTGATGACCTAGCACAAAAGGGCCAGTAGGTAATATATATATGGACATGCTTATTACTCTTTCTTAAGAAGTAGGGCTTGTGCACAAGGTTCTATACCAAGAGAGTATCCCTTACAATAAATGTTTATTATGTATTTGGGTACAGTTAATTTGATTTGCCTCAGCTCACTGAGATCATCTTTCACATCACACAGTTGTCAGCAGCAGAAATGAAAGGGTTCAGTGAAGTAGGCAGAACATAGATCACGGAAATCAGAAAGGGGTTGGTGTTCTCACTTGGTGACTATATTGTCCTAGAGATGAACCAGAATACCATGGGCCCTGCTTTACAGGAGATGCTAAAAGTAGTTCAAGCTGAGTCACAGTGTCGTAACTAACAACATGAGAACATGGAAAACTAACCGTAAAGGTAGAGTCAAGTCACAAATATGGTAATACTGTGTCATGGTAAGAAACCTATGTTTTTAGTTAATACAATGGTTAAAGGACAAGAATATTAAAAAATTAAAACTAGGGCTGGAGCGATGGCTCAGTGGTTAAGAACACTGGTGGTTCTTGCAGAAGACCCAGGTTT